AAAAAATTTTAATTATTATTTATTTATTATATAAAATTATTTTTTAATTTATGATGTACTTGACAACTTTTTTAATATTAACATTTTTTTTGTGCAATTAATATTAACATCTTAACAAATATAAAAATATTAACAATTCAATAAAATAAAAATAAAGAGTAACATAGATAATGACACACATAGGGGCTTAGAGGCCAGGTACCGATACGTTAAAGTTTGGAATGATTATATTGTTCTTTATTATACGACTCACTATTAAAATATATTAGGAAATTCAAATTAAAAGGGAAATTGCTAGACTTCAAAATGAAAGACACAGTACGCACTTCAGCCAGCTCATCATAACTGTGGCATACTCCAGTTATCAAAGTTGACTTGAGTGAGATGGACCTCTTGAGGAAGAAGATGATACTCGATTCCAAGGTTTTCAAAGATTTTCTTCAATTCCAGAATCAGCTCTGTAATCCGACTGCAACGTTCACCATAATTCTGATGATTGATTGTGTGCTGGACGCTCAAGGCCATCTTCAATTTGTTCATCCTACCTATTTCCTTCACAAACACTAAATGTTTTGGATTCCAATACTTTGGCCTGCTTTCAATATAACTGCATCACAAAAGAACTCTGTAATGTTACTGGCTTGGATGTGCATATGATGCTAATGTAATATTTGCAAGAGGGGAAGAACTTACATTTGTATGGCCTTTTTAAGTGCAATGATTGTGTCCATAGGGGTAGATAAGTTGATGGTGAAATCGATACAGTCATGCATTTCTGGACTTCTGTAGAAATTGCTGATCGGCTTTGTTAGCAGCACCGAGTTAGGGTAATAAATTTTCTCCATATCATACCGGAGAAACACAGTGGTTAAGATATTCATCTCTTCCACAATCATCTGTTCAAAAAATTAAGACACATGAGTTTGTAAATACAAAAACATGAAGGTTATTAATTATTGTAGAGGTATATATACAAATATGTTTTACATATTATATTTATATAAAATCTTGATAATTTATCTCATTATGTTAAAATTTATTTACTTTATATTATATTTATTAAAAATAATTCTCTTTTTCATCTAAAATATAAAAATAAATCTTAAATATTAAGAATGAAGAGAGATATATAATCAAGATTTTGTATAAATGTATTATATAACATTTAGATGCAAGCAAATTCCTACTCTACTCCCTTGTTCATTTTAGTAGAACTAATTTGACCTTTTTATTTTTAGAACATGAATTTTAAATAAATATTTAATCACTTATATGAATAATAATTAAATTTTTTTTTTCTTTATATGCAGTTTTTATTGAATATTTTTAGTTAATTAAATTTTTTAAATTATTATTTATATAATATATTAAATTTTTAACTAAAATTTGTGTTTAAAAAATTAAAAAATCAAATTAAATCTATTAAAAATAAAAGTTATCTTCATTAGAATGTTATCTACTTACTTGGACATCATCAATGACGCAACGGTCGCCAATGTCAAAAGGGTGCATGATGAAGATGAACACAATGGACTCAAAGACCATCTTGCAGGTGTTTTGGAACATGAACCCCACAAGAATAAGGTTTGTTAAGACAACAAGAATTACTTTTGGTGTTGCTACCTCCATTACCAAAAGGGAAACCACGATTATAATCACGATCACTACTGAACTTGCTAGTTTGTGGAGTTGTTGCACTGCTGTTTTGGTATCATTCAGTGAGTGTGCTAGGAATTTACGCTCAAAATAAGCTCGAACCTGTAGATATATAGTTTTTAATGTAAAAGATCATTGATTATATGTAACTCTATCTAAATTAAATAGAAAGAAGTTTTAATGGTGCAAAATTAACTCCTACCACCCAATTTCTGAAGGAGGACTTTGAAATCCTTCCGGTCTCAAGCGCTCCTTCAAAGAGAGGGAATATGGTATGAATCTCAGCCCTTTTTAGAAATCTCATCAGATCTTCCTCTTCAATGTACCTTTTAGAATGCAAGCACATGTTTTGTGAGAAAACAAATGGCAC